TTGCGAAGCTGAAGATTCCTATTGGCATGTCTAGTGAGAAGAGATGCTTGACCAATATGAGAGATGTGCATACCTGCTCCATTGGCGGTGTGGATCTTGTCGGAGCCATGATAGGGTTCACGAGTGTGAAGCTTCCCCATCTTGCTGGTCAGATGCTCTGTCGCCCCAGAGTCCATGTACCAGTGTGGCTCGATGGAGTAGGACTGAGTGTGTCCCTGTTGCTTCTGCGGCGCGGGACGATCAGCCATGGCGACCTGACGGGCATTGTTGCGTGTATCTTTGCCGTCATTGCCAAGACCAAGGAAGCTTCGCTGGAAGCGCTTATGACACTTGGAGGCCCAGTGCCCATCGCGGCCACAAAGCTGATACACACGTGGACCGCCAGCCCCCGGTAAGGTCGCAGTAGGTGGGGGGGCCGAGGCGGGCGACGGTGGCAGCCCCAAGGGAGACCGGGGTGATGAAGAAGAGCGGCCACCCTTGGTGGCGGCGTTGGCCGAGAGGGAGCCAGTGCCCCTGGTGCGGCGAGTCTCGACCCGTTGCTCAGTGAGAAGGAGCCGAGAGAAAACCTCGTGTGCCAGCATGGGTGTCGAGTTGCCCCGCTCGTTGATGATCTCGACTAAGGCATCATACTCCTCATCAAGACCATTGACAATAAACGAGTTGAACTCGGAGTCGGTGAGGGGCTGTCCAATGGAGGCCAATGTGTCGGCGAGGCCCTTGACCTTGTTGTAGAACTCAGTGGCAGTGGAGTCAAGCTTCTGACACTCTCCAAGCTGACGACGGAGTGCAGAGACACGAGCCTGGGACTGTGCTGCAAAGGTGCGCTCAAGGATGGTCCAGGCCTCATGAGACGTCTTCGCGAAGACAACAAGGCCGGCAACTGCCGGCGAGAGCGACCCCTGGATGGAGGAGAGGTTCGCCTGGTCCTGCCCCGTCCAGACGCGATGGGCCGGATTGTAGACCGCACCGTGCATGCTGTCTACCAGCGCGGGTGGGCAGGGAAGCGATCCGTCGACGTAGCCTAGCAGGTAGTGACTCCCCAAGAGCGGGAGAACCTGCGCACGCCAGAAGATGTAGTTGTCGGCAGAGAGCTTGATGGTGATGAGATGACCGAAGTGAAACGGCGGCGGCGAAGACAATCCCATCGAGGAGGCTGCCTGGGGTGCAAACACCATGGAGGCAGCCGGAGGCACCGAAGCCGATGCGGGAGGAGGCGGGACCGCAACCAGGGCGGGCGCCGCAAAGCTCGCGGCCGGTGCGGACGCCGCAAGGCCCGCGGCTGGGGCGGACGCCGCCAACCCCGCCAGCGGGGCAGTGTGATCCGCTTGCGGCAGGAGCGGCGGGACGACGCCTGCGGAGTCCGCAGCGGACGGCGGCGCCGCGGTGTGGACCACGAGGTCACGCCCAAGCGAGGGCGCCGGCGGCGTGGAGAAGACGGAGCCGATGCTCCTTGTCCCGATCGGAGCCGGAACAGAGACAACATCGAGCGGGAGGTTGAGCAGAGCGGCAAGAGAGGCCAGGAGGAAGCCCGCAGCAGTGGAACCGGTGGTGGCGGCGCTCGACATGGCGGCGGCGCGATCGGTGGCGCGGCGGCGGCGGTGAAGGCGGCGGCGGCTGCGGCGGCGGTGTGGGTATTAGGGTTTAGAAGCGGAAGCGATCGTAACCTAGCTCTGATACCATGTAAGACAATAAGTTTTGGGGAACCAGCACAACCCTCTAGGGGTGGCTTATCTCGTTATATATAATGGTTGTGTTACAATATGTACCATATACGTACATAGGTACAGAAGCTATACATAGTCTAACAGTGCGGGACGCACTGGTGCGGTCGGGCTCGTCGGACGCGTCGGGTGCGCGCGGGACGTGCGGGACGCACTGGTGCGGTCGGGCTTGTCGGGTGCGCGCGGGACGTGCTGCGCACCGTGGGACGCCATGCGTGTGTCACCGGCGGAGAAGGAGCTTGGCGTATGTCGCCGGAGTCGTGACGGAGCATGGTGCGACCGGGCGTCAGTGCGTGAGGTGGGCTCCGTGGCGGTGCGATCGACGTCGGTGTGTCAGGTCGAGTCCGCAGGCTGGGTCACGGTTATGACGACGAAAAGGATGGGAGCTGCATTAACCCGGCAAAGGCGAGCGCACTGCAAGCGGATGTGCTCCTCGCGACGGTTGACGACGAGCCATGTCTCATGTGATGGTGCAGCGAGAAGGCAAGTCAAGATTAAGGGGAGTTTGTTAGTGTTGAAACGTGATATTTTTGTATTTATTTCTGACTGATTTTCTATTATCTTTAGCCTTGTGTAGCTGATTTCTAGAGATATTGTAGGGTTAGTTGGCTTGTCACGCAAGACACCATCTATATATATTGTAACCGACTCCGATAAAATACAATAAGTTGCATCCTATAGTCTTCTACAGTTAGGAGTAATCGTGACTTGGATTTGTTTTCCAGTCAGTTGTGTGCGTCGCGTGAGTTAGCTAGCTACTTAGCCGGGCGTCAATGCATATGTGAGTCGTCATGGTGTGTAACACGCATGCATGTAGGCTGTTAGCGGCAGTACGCTTCCGGCGCGTCGTGCGCGCGTGGCCGGGCGGATCGTGAGCACTAGCTAGCATGGGGAGGTGGGATGCGGTGTGTACCTGCGCATGCGCAGGTATAAAAAAGCCCAGACCTGAGTTTGTTGAGTGCGTGTGTGTGCCTTCAGTTTGTAGCCATGTAGATAATGTAAGCCAGAAAAGGATTGGGATGTTCGTGCGCTCGTGGCGGCGTTTGTGTGCCGGCCGAAAATTTTGTGTCCACTGTTCTTCTTCTTCCACCTTCATTTGAGTGAGAAGAGAGATAACTAAAGGGCTGCGATTCCAACACACATCGACCTAGAAAAGCTACGCTAGTAGACTCGCGGCCGGCCGGATACACAAGCACGTCACATGTACGCAAGTACACAACAATCAGATCGCTGATTTCTCTTTTAACACACCTAGACGCTTGTTGATGGCCACAGGCACGAATCGTCTCCGGTGTTTTTTTTTATTGCCTCAATTCACTATGTGATTACAAGGCCGATGTTGGCAAGCAAAACTCCATGAGGGCGGATCGATGAGGCAAACGATACACTAGGCCTTCATCGTCGGTCATTCCGGCACATTTCTGCTCCTCCGACCGGGACGCCTCCTGGAGCGACGAGCTGCTTTGACAGGAGGCTCATCTCATGGCCTACCTGCCCCGGATCCGCACCTTGTGCCTCACCTGCGGGGCTGCTCCGGCAACCCGAAGGAGCAGTGGCAACGAGGTCACAGACGCACTCGCCCGTGGCTCCGCATCGGATAGGATGGGTTAATTTAATTAATCAGATCATTAATTACGATTAGAACTAACAAAGAATAAATCTATTTCTAATTAGAAATTACCAATATGTCCTAGAGCGAAAATTTGACCCATCTATACTGGCCATTGGATCTACTAAAGTACTACCCATCATAATGGGTAGTTACGATGTATCATAAAAAATCTCAACTGCAATGCAGTAATCTTTGCCTCTGGTTGCCTCTCTTTATGCATCACCTCTTTTGTCCGTGATTGCTCGTCCATAGTATCAGTGATAGGAAGGCGGCCTATGGTGAAAGAATCAAGAGCTTGGAAAATCAGCAAGGTCATGATCATGGACCCAAGTGGTCACGATGAGAAAGGAAGATCATACTTTTAGCTTGTGTGTGATCAAGTGTTAACGGCAAGGTCCGTGGGACGATTCGTAGGAGGGTTTGGAGGCTTCGCAGGCTCTCGAAGAGTCGGGCGCATGCTCTTCGATGATGGTAACTATCAGACCCATATCAGACCCAAACACGGTGAAGTCAAAGTCTTTCAGCCGACATGGCGTGGCAGAGCACCCGGAGCCAGCGGCGAGGTCAAAGCCCTCGAGCCCACCAAGACGTGGTAAGGCGGAGCTAGACACGGCGAGGTCGGAGTCCTGAAGCCGGCCGATGTTTCTGCACCACCAGTAAGACCAAGAAAACAGAGTGAACATGGAATTGCATTTTGTCACATATTGGAGTACCAAGTGAACATTTATATGCATGATTAATTAATTATGTAATATTCTTAGCCCTGCATTATGCTTTACGCGGAGTCTAGTGTTGTGTTGGTTAGCCTTACCTTTGGCTCCCGCCAACCGATCAGCCGGATTCTAGTCTGTAGTTGAATCAAAAAATGCTCCTGTCAAATGTCCATCTGGATCCCGATCTGTCCTGGGTAAAGAGTGGGCGGCCGTTCTTTACAAACGGTGAAACTCTTTGCAATGAAGCATAAGCATATGGGAACCAGGGTTCTGGACTCATTATAGCGCACACAGCTAGAGCTGATACAGCTCAACCAGGCGTTGCCTCATGAGGATCAAATTTAGTGCGTCGGGGCGCAGCTAACCTGGTAGGAGTGGGTGCTGAGTAGCCATCGAGCGTTGCTCGAAAGACTCAACACACAAACAAATTAGTGATGGAGTGAAAATATGAAGCTGAATAATGAAAGTGACTTGGCTTTTTTATGCTCCATGCGTCGGTGATGCCATGTGGTGGAGTCCCGAGTTAGACCCGGCGGCATGGATTCCCCGAGCCAGATGCGCCGAGGTCATAGTCCCCTGAGTCGGACTCGATCTGGTCGAAGTCCTTGGGTCACCGCGAGGTCGGAGTCGGCTAGGCGAGGTTGGACTTAGCAAGTCGGAGTTAGCTTTGTGAAGCCAGCCAGGCAGAGCCGGAGTCGGCCTAGCGATGTTGACTAGACGGAGTTGGGCTTGGCGAGTCAGAGTCCTGAAGCCAAACGCGGTGAGGGGGAGCCCTCGAACCAAGTGCGATGAGGAGTCATACTCGGCCATGATGAGCCGGCGATGAAGTAATGGTGCAACGAGATAAAGGTCTGCGGAACGACGAGGTCGGAGACGGACTCTACAAGGTTGGAGTTCGTAGCATCAAAAAATTCTTACGATCTCCATCTTAGAAAAATCAGCACGTGCACCATCTTAGTCTAAGCCATCTTGATCCTTGAGGAGGTTCAGGGATACAAAGATGGACAAGTTATCATACACGTGCAATGGTGTAACCAACTCACGTATAAATTTAGGCAATATTAAAGCACTAGTACTAGCTTCTGCAGCATCCTCCAACTCCAAGAGTCTGTTGTCCTGCCTGTGCATCACCACCTTTATGAAACATGTATATTTGGTCAGCCACTCCTTCTGTATCTTGGGACAGTACCGCATAACCACTGCTGCAACTTGATCATCCCTAAAGGCATCTCTGTACTTCGAGGGCATTAAGACGCTTGTATATGGTTGGACTTGGACTAGTTTGTTACTGGTTGTTCCTTGGATATTGCTACCATCAACAGCAGCTGCAGTACAGATATCAATATGTATTGATGTGTCTTCTAAAAGACTTTCTATAGGAGAGAGAGACCTAAGGAGCCTTGCATCCGTGAGACAAATCCGCCATCCACCCTTGAACATCTCTTCTTTCTACTGGTGGAGGGATAGATCGGCATGTGGATGCACAAGTGGTGCCTCCCCTCCGTAAGCTGTTGTTGATGGAGATGTGGTGTCAATATTATTGCATGGAGCTTCTTACAGCCAGCTAACAGGATGATCTGCTTGGGGAGTTCACTCTTGTGCCTGAGAGTTCCAGCTCCCCAAGAACCCTCTATAGTCCTTTCAAGAACACGTTTGCCAATTCTTTGCAGCCCCCTAAGGCCTTGTTCGTTTACTCCCTCCCTCGCGAGGTTTGGGGCCCAACCCCCGCGGATCCACGGGGATCGCCCCCGCCTGGGTGTGACCCCGGCCCATCTGTTAATGCATATTCGGTTAAGCCTGGCGTGGGTCCGTTCCCCGACTGAAACCCCTCCGGTCTTCGCGAAACGCGCGGGGAAAAAATCATCGTCTCCCCACTCGCGGAAAGAAACCCCGAGCGATCTGAGGGGAACTCTCGCTTGCGGCGCAGCCCAAAGCGGGTTAACCGAACGTTGATCTATTGAGGGACGGATTTAGGAGATATGGGGTTTAATCCGTGCATGGGATTGGGTGACGGTGTAGGGATCACCCGATCCCTGGGTGGATTGAATCTGCTAGGGGGTTTGTCCTCTGCCTACCGAACAAGGCCTAAAAGAGATATTGTTTAACCCATCAATAGTGACGCTCTTCAGGCTACTGTACTGTTGCTTCTTGTCCCTGATAAGCTCTTGTCATGCCTTGTCTGATGGTATTTCTCAAAAAATCTAGAAGCTCCATGTTTTCCATCTCCGATAACACGTTGTTGTTGAAGAAGCAGGTGGACTTTGTTACCCGGAGCTTGCGAATGTTGCGCAGTCGTCCTCAGAAATGGCTCATGTCCCAATTTTCAGCTCCTATCACATCAGTCTCCTCATTGCCTCCATTATGCAGAATCACCAAGAACCTCTGATTCTGTGTAGTTTGATAGATCTCTCTGACAACTTGTGCTATCTCAGTTCGGGAGCCCTGGTCTAACCCATTGAAATCATCCTCCTCATCTTGCTTGTCAAACATCTCCATCACCCAATTAGGAAGGTTCAGCTGCTCTGCTATTTCCCTTTGCATTGCTCTTCTGCTCTCCCACTTTGAGCAGTCAATGTGGATGATTTTCTCAAACTGCAGCCCTGCAGGCCTCGTTGACGGCTCATTTGATACTCCAAGGCGTTTGGCTACGGCTTGCAGGAAAGCAGATGCCCCAAGACCATCCTAGCCATCAAAGTAAATGGCATTCTCTCTGCTGCTTGTAGTGTCTTTCCCAAGTTCAACGAGAATCCTTTCGACGGCCACATCAATGGTGTCCTGCATGTGTGTACAAGGAGGTGAGGTGAGAATCTGTCCAAACTTCAAACTTGGAACTCGATACTAATAAAGAACACACACTATATAAGTTGACCCATGTATTGGGCTATTGGCAATATTCTGATGCATGACTAGCTGTTTTTTGAGCTCCACTAACTAAGCATGCATAGTCTGCAAAACAAAGTAATAAACACATACGCGATCCAAATTAACTACCGACAATGCTAGCATAGAAAAAACTTTACCCCAAAATCTACCGCAATTTAATATATTGCAAACCGCGCTTGAATGGATAGAAAATATATATAACATGCAAAATGGAATGAAAGGTGATTTGTAAGTGCAAAAGTACCTCCGTACGCATGATGAATTGATCGGATCTGTCGGTCTCTAGCCTCTAGATGAATTCATTTTTAGGCTCAAGATCGACCACTCAGCTCTTCAGCAATCTCCATGCTCATTTGCCGATCAATTGTTGACTTCCTGCCTACATTGAGATACAAGTCGAAGCAATATATCAAGCTAGCTTACACAAGTCTAAAGAATTCCACAGGCAGATTTAGTACAGGTGTAAGGTGAGATAGTTACATACCTTGGTTAAGTGAAGAAATGGTACTATGTAGAAAATCGGCAGGTTGATAGAAGCCAAGTAGATCGTTCAGGTGCCACTACAAGTGGCTGGATAGGAGAGCAAAAAAACAGAGGTGCTACATGGTAGGAATGGATAACCCTGTGAGCTGCTTCTTTCTTGTGCTTACACACAAATACCTTAGACAGAGTAGAAGCAAGCGGCTGTATTCCTTGCCTTTTCCTTTTCCATATTCGCAATCCATGCCAGGATTACCTTTTGCTTTAGCTAAAGAAAGAATCAGTTCTTTGCTTGCAGCTGGCTAGCTGCAGGATTCAAAGATAAAGATAAAAGATTGGAATGATGTCTGTTCACTGTGGGGTCTTCATGCTAATTGAAAAACTTTTGTGTCTTTCAAGCCATTCGAACTGAAGTAAACTCTGAAGTAGAGCATCGAAATTTGGATTTCAACTTGCATCGCCATTGCAGTAGGTAGGGTGCTAAGGGCATGTACAACGCCGGCGCTTAGGCCAGGCGCTAGGATTCAATTCCGGGTCGTTATGGTCTAATCCTGGTCGATCAAAGGATTATTGCTAGCGTCGATGCCAGGTCTGCTGACGGGCGCTTTCTTCTTCTTTTTCCCTCTGAGTCATTTAACGAGTGCTGCCCTTCTTTTGTACGAGAAAAATAATAGAATTAGCGCTCAAACAGGCGCCCATGCGTTGAGGAGACGGACTCTTACAGTGACGCCACTTCTTTAATTAATTCTTTTTATTGCCTAAGCATCCAAATAAGTGCTCTTGCATTGTAGATGCCCTAATGGGGGCAAATTGTACCCCTGCTAGTTACGTTGTGGAATGTGGCCGATATCTCTTTTTATAGCTTTGGCATTCATAAGAGTGCCATTACAAGGCTTCCCGCTCTCTTTTAGGAGAAAACGCAAGAAAAATTTGCGTTTCATTTCATTGAACAGGAAGAAATCGGTGATACAACCTCTAGAAAGGAGGGACACGCGCGCGCACACACACACACGACCGTTCTCACCAAGCGACTACAACTAGGTAAGGAGGTGCCCTCAACTACAGACACGCAACGACACTGCTAGAAACTTTAATGTGATTACTGTGTCATGCAGAGATGTCCGTCGCCTAACCTAGGCGGCACGGGCGGCGATCCCATCTACACCACCTTGGCCTCCGTCGTCTGCTCTTCCCCCTCGCCGCCGCCGGAGGTCACCGCCGGGCGAAGCCCGTGCGGTGGTGGCGGCGGCGGGGCCTTTCTCTGTACGCTCTCGTGGCAAGACAGGCGTTGGCGGCTTCCCATGCGGTGGTTGAAGGCGCCGCCGGCACGCGTCGGATCTTCGGCCGGTGCATGCGGCGTCCACATCCATCCAGATCGGGGCCAAGCAAAACTATTTGCGATCTAGGTGTGTGCCATCAAGTACTCTAGGAAGTTAAGATCCAGGTCAATGGCGGCTACTTCCCTGGGCTCTCTTTCTGGATGTGATGCGCACTACACCCGGCACAGGGCTCCTTCGATCCGCATGATTCTGTTCCATCGACATGCACCGCGGGCTCTCCACCAGATTGGATCCGGCGAACCGTGGGCTCTCCCCTAGATCGGATCCGGCGGTATGCGGGCTCTCCCCCCACCTCAGTCCACGGCGGTGCCTGCTCCGAATTGCGGTGACATTGTGTGTCACGGCGTTCCTTTGGCAGTGGGTTCAAGCTTCGCGGTGGTTTTCTGTTGACACCTCTCCGGTCTGCCGCCCACCTCACTCCATCGGTGGTGGTGGCTCCGGCGTCATGGTTCTTGTGGCAATGTTGCTCGTTCCCCTGCGGCGGCTACTTTTGGCGGTGCACCTTTAATGGCCCGGCTCTGGCCACGGCGGTCTCTGGGCATGTGGGGCTGTGGCGATGTGGTGGCCTTCTGCGTGTGCGGTGCGAGCCGCTGACATTGCGATCCTCGGTTGGTGGTGGTGATTTTAATCAGATTGGCCGGGCAGTGGTGACTACTGACTGTTCAGTAGTGACTTCCTACGGATCCATGACAGCGAGGTTATCGAAAAGACTTCGGGAGGTTTTATCTCTTGATTCGGTGGATGACTTTCTGTGGTGTGATACAAATTATGGACAAAGACTTGACGCACAGGGATGTTTGGTGGAGTGGCGGCGGTCAAATTGTAGCTGCCGGTATTGTGGAATAGTGGTGGCGACAACACGTGCGTGGCTTTGATGGTGGTGCTATGAGCACCTGGTCTCGAACTCCGGGGCGAAAGCCTAGGTTAGACCCGAGTGGTCATACCTGGCAATGGCGATGTTTTCTACGTCGTTACCTTGTTGGAGGCATTGCTCAGATATGTTCAGACTATTATTCAGGGTGAAAATTTCGATTCTGGCCTTTGTGGTAGGATCCGGTGACAGTGGCGCTTGAGTGTCGCTTCCTTCCTGAAGGCGTTGCTGTTGAAGATCATGGGCCTCCATGTGATCTCAATGGTTGGTGCGGACATGGTCTCAGTTGTAGTTTGTCGATTGCCGATCTGATCTCTTTGGAGCTTTTTATTTTTTTTTCTTTTTTCAATGCTTATGCATAGCTTTTGGTCTTGTGACCTTGCTAGTTGTTGGCGTGTTTATGCGTGTGTGTGTGTGTTGGGTTGGCTATGTGCATCCTAGTTATGCAGAGGCCGGGTGTTTCTCATATTGTACCTTCTCGATGCTCCATTTGAGCCAATAAAATTCACCCTTTATCGAAAAAAGAAACTTTAATGTAGTGTGAGGTTAACATGCTTAGCTTTCTTATATAAATCAGAAAATGCTTCACACACTATGTCGGTGTACAAAAAGAGGGGTACACTTTTTGTACCCCTATAACTGTGCACGGGCAGTCAGAGCTGCGCTCGCGACCACACAGGGCAAGGGAGCGGTGAGCCAGGGTAAGACCAAAGTCCAAGGTAGCTGGAACAACACCAAGGCCAAGACCACGAAGAGCAAAGGGATGAAGCGGGCTCCCCCCCGGCAAGATCCTTGCCGGGGTCAGCCTTAGCAGCCCCGGCAAGACCCTTGCCGCGGCAGCTCGCCCCACGCCTACGGAGCGAGTC